AAAAGGACTCCCGAATCAGCCTAAATTGTCTTTGGTGGGTCAAAAATCGGTATCGACCCAAAACCAGAAATGTTTCAGAGTCATGAACATTTTTTACTAAATGATTTCAGTTTAAATCTCAAAATAACTGTTAGGAAGAAGTGTTTCCTTTAAAAAAAGTTATCTATTGTGTTTATTAAACTTTTTCTAAACCGAAGAAGATGAAAAAAAAATAAATCTAACGAGGACCAGTTCGTTATTCTCCTCCACACTTTCGTGACCTCTCTGAATTCTGAAGCCAGTCCAGCCTCGAGCTGCTCGCTGGATATTTGATCAGCTCGCTCTGCCGCTGCAGTAAAACATCATAAAACTCAACAAAGGTTTAACTTTCTAGCCACAGCATTTTATCAGTCAGGATAAAGCCAGATAAAGGCTTCAGCAGCCTACTTTGTAGTTCTGGTGTTAATGCATAACCGCTCTGCAGACCGGCGCTTGTTGGCTGCTTCAAACAGCCGTTTCTGCTGATGAGAAACCTGCACATTTGGCAGAAAGATTTTCTCTCCTCAGGTTCTTACCGCAGACTTTTTGTCTGAGATGTTGCTGATATCCAGAGCGTAGATGGCCTCTCTGGCCCCCAGCAGCACCACGCCCACGTCATCTCTGATCAGCATAGTCGAGTAATTGAAGATCCCATCTTCTTTGAACAACTTCAGGTCACCTAGACAGAAATATGTGCATTAGGATGCAGTGATTTAACCCCCTCTTCTATAATAAAATAACAGTCTATTCAATTGTGCTGCTGTAAAAATGACTCCGCAGCAAAATGATCATTTATTGAGAAACATGTTTCTGTAAATGAAGCAGCTAGAGATGCACTTTTAGATCGTTCGTCATAGGTAAAATATTCAAATGCATGCAGTGCATGAAGATGCTGCAACTTTTGGAGGATTTGTGACTTACTCGCGTAGGGGACAGTCTTTCGTGGGACACAGTACTGAGAGCTGAGCACACAAAAACAAAGATGGAGCATCAATCCGCTGACAGTGATCAGGGCCGACAGAAGAGACATGGTTCAGAGTCTAGATAGGTCAAAGTGTCGAGGAGCTGCGCAGTCCAGCTCTGCTGCCGAAGCACCAAATCAGAGAAGGAGGATGGTCCAAATGCTGGACACGTGTCTCTGCAGCAGGAGTCCCTCTGAGATGTCTAACCAAGACTGTAGAGAGCAGATCAGCCTGCTTTGGTGCAGCTTGAAGTTGGCCGGGTGTCTATGTCGGTGTTAGCCTCCAGCATAGTGCTAATGAGCTGCTGGTGTCCTCTCTGGAAGGAGGAGCAGGAGCCATGCTGCCTGGCTAGAGCTGAGGGATGCCCGAGGAGCTCATTTTCACGCTTCTGCAAAGGATACAAGCACATCTATGAAATAATTCAACAGAAACGACTGGCTTTATTACTGAGGTTGCACATCTTGGAAAATTTATTTTTAAAAGTGAGTTACGCAGCCATTTTCCCTCTTCTCTACCTTATTGCTTTCCACTTTTCCTATGATGTGCTTGAAGGTTGGTGGGGTAATCATTATGCTGGGCCATGATAATCCTGCTTATTTCAGTGACTGAAATGTAGGAGCTGCTGTTTCCATTTCTTTTTGTCACCAGCTGCCAAACTAATACAAAGAGGGAAGGGAACTTAAAAGAAGCTCGCCTTTGAGCATATAGAAATCTGGTCTCCAACAAGGGATCAGGAGAACTTTGAGATGCTCTCAAAAGGCACAGATTAAAAAGAAAGTGATCAGAACTTGAAGCAGGAACTAACAAGAGAACTGAAAAGGAAAATGTAAAAAAAATAAAAAGCATTGCATTTGTTTAAAGCAATTCTACATTTTAAGGGTTTACACACAATAAGTTCTCCCAGAGAACTTTACAAAGGAAACTGGTGTCAAGTTAAGCTCTGCAGAGTGCCATGTGGCCTCCAACCCCCACTCCCTCTCCCTCTTCCTCCCCCCCACTCTCAGTATCTTCCTGTCCTCCCTGATAAGAACCTGCTTCCTCTGGGCTCAGCAGGAATCAGGCAGCAGTGGGGTATCCGTTCAGGTTTGGGCATGCATGCACATCACGGTCATTCTCCGCTCTCTCCCTCTCCCTCTCCGAGTGTCACCGCTACTTTAGCGCGCTCGTATCTGTTTTGACTAAGTGAGCAATGCGGCCTCATTCAAAATTCATCAAGGCACTTTATCTCAGAGTAACACACAAAGCCAAGTTGGGAGCCGACGTAAAGTGAGGGGAAAAAATACGGTGTGCTCACTCAGAAACAGCAGCAGCACCCCCATGACTACTTTGCAGCTGTTGTTGAGGTTTTAGCTCCCAGAGGAAAATCCACAGCAGATTTTACGGAGGTGCTTCTTTTGAAATACACCACAGCGTCCTCGGCTGTTGACAGAAACGACAGTTTCCTGGAGAAGCAGTTCAACCTCCCCCTTCGTGCGTCTGAGCAACCTCATTATTAAATAACTGCATTTTGCAGCCAACTACCACGCTCACACCTTGTTGTTACACCTGACACAGCGGGACGAGCTGCCGCATGTCATCTGTTGTTAAAACACCGATGTTGTGCATGTGCTCCCCCCCCTCAGGCCGCAGGGATGAGCCCCACAGCTGAATGGGACGGCTGGGAGTTGTTTTTGCAGTTTTTGACATATCGCTCTGAACAGTGCAGACAGATGGGTATGGCTACAATAATAGATGCCCCCACGCTTTTCCTCCTCCGTTTATCCAGAGACACGGGTGAACGAGGACTTTACAAGTCATGAACAGCTGAGTATCTAGTAAAATGTGGTTCTTACGCTCTACCTGGTTCCCTAAAAACACACCCCTGACATACTGCACTCACACCACGGATCAAATACTGGCATCAGATATACGATATCCTGACTTGTATGATTAGATCAGGTGTGGTGAGGATGAGCTCACTGAGTTTTGAGTTTGTTTTTGACCTAAATGTTAAATAATACAATCCTAATGTTGATGCCATGTCTGTGCTACACCCAAGGTCTTACACTTGGAAGGAGAAATTAGTTCAAGGACAATATGAAATTTGAAGACTTCTTTTATTATGATAAAGTTCCTGTTTACCCATGTGTCTTGGTGCGCTGCAACTGATTACATTTACACTGATGACCGTAATATTAAAAGTGAGATAAAAAAAAACCTGAAAAACAGACACAATTTTTAAGTTTTAATCGCACGCTGCCAATGAGAGGGGCTTTTTGTCCTTGTCTGCATCTGATTTTAATGAGACTTCCAGAGAGTAATCACCACATCCACGTGTACAACTGATTCCATTTGGAGTCATCACCATTCAAGATGGCCGCCACAGCTAATCAAAATTAGCCAAAGCAAACATTTGGGGTGTTAGTAGCTAAGTGCCAAATAGAGTTGCACATGAATACGTGAGTGTGTAATGGATGAAGGACCCTGGGAAGTATGGCGGCTGGTCAACCGGATGGCCCAATAGCCGTTTTCGATCCAAAACGTGATATTGGTGGAGGTTTTTAGACAAATGCAAGCGAACCGCTTCATTATTTTTTTTCATCTGCACAATATATTTGTAGCTATACTGTGTTAGAATGTTGTTAATGGGCAAAATTTAAGCTAGTTTGTTTTCCAAATTAGCCACTGCAGCTTTAAAGTGATGATGTGTATTTTCCCTGGCTATAAGGGGCAGTACAAACCTAAATCATTGCAAGAAGGGGATTTTTGTAAGACCTTATCAATGGATGGCCATTAGGGTCAAAAATCCCAGGGAGTGCATCAGACTCCCTTTGATCACTGGCAGCGAGTGAAGAGGTAAATGTGTAAAACAGCATTTATGAATGGTGAAAGATTTGTAACCGTTTGTTACATATCAGTGAATGCATGTTTTCCTCATGGGTTCCCGTAGAAGGAAATATGGAAGCTAATATGGCGTCGCCCAGAGACTGACGTGCTCCTATTTATTTTAGACCCGATTTTTATGGATACCGTAAATCCTCTAATACAGGCCCCGGGCCTGTATTTGACTCAAGCTCATCAAGCTCCAGGCCTTTATTGGAAGGAGGACCAGAATTAGAGGCAGGCCTCTATTTCTATTTGAGCAAAATGAACTAATGGTTCGCTGGAGTTTTTGACAGTTAAAATTGCGCCCACATTTTCAAAGGTAAACACATTTCTTTTAACAACGGTAGTTTCTGCTTCAGCCCTCTCCCCCCTCCCCCGCGCAGCGGCCGCAAACTCACTGATGCGCCTGCAGCCTCTCAGAGTTCCTGCTGCTCTAAACATTAAAATAATTATTTCATTTTCTGTTCCTCACTTCTGATTACCTTCAATGGTGTCTGTTTGTTGCAACCACCAGGTACAAAAACTAACTTGTTTTTATTCGACTATTTTTCTGTCCTGTATCTGTTTATTATCTTCCTGCATCTCCTCTCAATCCTAAAGAAAAACTGCTACCTGCGTTCATACATATTCACCTTATGAGTTACCTTTGAACTGCAGTTCTAAAAGATCTACCGACCGCAAAAACAGCGGAGTGCTCCCGGCCACATCAGTGAGGTGCGTCACTGAGGACAAAACAGGTGATGCGCCCCGCTCCACAGCAGTGAAACGCATCCGGCACAAATAAAAGAATAAAAGACAGAAAACATAAAAGGAAATGAGCCGACATGAACGATTGCGTGTTAAATTAGTTTTTGAGGTGGCGACACCTGATTTGATAATGTTTCTGTGGCCGTGCTCAGGACGCAGATGTCTGTAGCGCGTCAACAATCAGAGCTTTGCATGTGCAAGCTGGTTAAGGTTAGGATGGGGTGACGGGAAGCTTAAATTGCAAGAGGGTAAACGTCACAACTTGGTTAAATGTCCGTTTTACGGCGGGTGTCAGTACCGACGCTCTGGCACAGCGCACTGCCTCCCGACGCGCAGGAGCTTGTCACCTGCTGACAGCAGGCTGCTGTCTTTTCCGAGGACTGCATCTTGCCAGTCATTATCACGTGACAGTGACTAGTCGATGACAGGCATAAAAAGTCACTATAGAGCGGTGAAGTCGACTAGTGACTAGTTCATACAACCCCTGCTACTGCTCCCCAGAGTGTTCTGCAGCGCACGTTCTCTTTGAACTTGATATCAAATTTTCGCCTCCTCTTCGTCTCCGCACGGTTAAAGTTACCCTCGCGGTCTATCACTGGCAAATCAAAAGTGAGACGGATGACACAACCGCCCCCAGTACTTGCTTGTTCCACCCGGCCACAATAAAAAACAGGCCATTTTTCACCTCCGCCGACTCCGACACCGGCCAAAATATGATACCCGGCAGTTAATTAAATACAGGCTAATATTAGAGAATTTACGGTATATGTTACAAAGCCGCCTTTTTTCCAACAACTGTGCATCATTTAATTCATTTTCAACAACATTTTGTTGGATATTTCCAGAGATTAATGGTAAAAACTACACATTGCAACTTTAACTTGAAATTTTTGATTTTAGGAAGTTAAAACTTCCATCTGCTACAGTTATTGTTAATGTGAATTAGCACTTAGCAAAGGTGCTAAAGGTGAGTTCACAGATAAAAATGTCGAACCTTCCTCTGTAGCTTGGGAAATGATGTATTCATGGACCAAAACACACACACACACACACACACACACACACACACACACACACACACACACACACACACACACACACACACACACACACACACACACACACACACCTAGATCATGATTTTGCAACATGACATGAAACTGCAGTTTTTTTTCCACGACTTACCAAAAACAGCTGTACTCCATCATTTCTCAACAAAATTATTTCAGTTTAAAAGTTGGGATCAAAGGTGGAGAATGAGGTTCTCCTTCAACAAAAAGCTTTTTTTGCACTTTTAAGTGATGTATGAGTTTGTATCTGTTTGAGATAAATGCTTCATTGTTTCCACCAACTGCTTTCATTAGGGCGTTGCACGACTCGGCTCAAGAATCGGACTTATCTTTATTTCTTGGAATAAAAATATCTAAAAGGTCTTTCAGGTCATCACAATTATTAACTATTTTTAAATCATTTACACTTATCTACTCACTTCAGAAACATGGTGCAGCTTTGTGTTTGTTTTGGGATTTGGCTTGAGGCTAATTTTAGTCAAAGATAAAACTCACAAGAGCGTTAAACTTCTGCTGCAGAACAAAACACCTAAAATAACAGAATTGATTTACATTTTTATTTAGTAAGTAAATATATGCAAATGTTGACTCATTTTAAGACTTTATAAATGTAGTAAAATCTTTATGGAATAAAAATGACCTTGGACAATAAATAAAAGAGGAAAGAGATTTTTTTAATATATTTTTTTTACTTTAGACGGCCAGATATGAGACACGTTAGAATATTAATTCATTTCCTCTGCCATTTTTAAATCGGGACCAACTCAAACATTTCATATTTGACTTAAACATTGTACAACACAGTTGTGCAACTTTACCAGACCTAATGGCGTACTATTAATATCTTACATTACACCATGACTTCTACTCTTTAATGGAACACCTTAAAACCCTTAATGTGATTTATTAATACCTGCAGACTTGAGCAGACTGGGTTCAACATCACATATTAAATGATTTATTAAAGCAGTGAACATCTTATAACAGATGTTTTAGCTACTTTTATTAGCTAAAATGTAAAGTTTTTGATATCGTGTTGCTTCCTCAGCCTCTTACAGCCAAAACAACATCCCCTCAGGTGTGTTCTCTCAGACTCTGCATCAGGTGACACTTTAAGACAGGTGTGAAATTTGTTTTTTAATCTTTTGTTTGAAGGATCAAAGTTGTTCCAGTGTGGCCAGATAAACCTGCTGTAGAACCTGTCCATAAACTCACAGCAGCTCACTTCAGTGCCTCTAGTAAAACAAAAATACCACAAACGTGTTTGGGACTATGACAGAAAATGCATTTTTATTCTCTAGAAAGTGACATTTGGAGTTTGTCGAATGACAAAAAACAAGAGAGTGACAAAAAATGGTTCCTTCGCATTCTGCATGGTGGCGCAGTGGTTAGCACTGTTGCCTCGCAGCACGAAGGTCGCAGGTTCGAAACTCGGCTGTGGCCTTTCTGCGTGGAGTTGCGTGTTCTCCCCATGCATGCGTGGGTTTCCTCCGGGTACTCCGGTTTCCCCCACAGATCACAACATGCCCTACAGGTTATAAATTGTAAGTCGCGTTGGATAAAAGCGTCTGCTAAATAAATAAACATAAACATCCTGATTCTCCTGGATGTGAACGTCAGCATGTGTGCTGGTGGGTTTTTGTTCATCAAACTGCATGTGAACCCATAGCTGAGGTGTTTGGTCCTAGAGCTCAACCAGTGTCAATTTAATATAGCGTAATATTGTTTTTGGATGGTAAAAAGTGCAGGGGTCAAAACTTGACTTTACGTCCATGGCTGAGAAAGCCCTGCAGCGGTATCGCCATACACTCCAACCTCTAGAATCGTGAGGATATTTATAGCTGTAATGAGAAAATAAATTCTTACTTTTACAAACCTGACTCTTCCCTTGAATCAAGACGAAGTGTTCTACAATCCCTGAATTAACAAAGAATCCTAGAATCTTCTGATTAAACATCCAAAGACCAAGCAGGTTGATATTCTATATTTATATAGAATATCACAGCTTATTGGTCATAAGTAGAGGTAATATATATAGCCCAGTCCTTTCTGCACGTTATCAAAAAACCACTATGGCAGAATGTCAGCGAAAAAACAAAACTCAACAAAGCAGAAACGAGCACAGACATGCAAAGTGTTTTTTGTGTCAACTATGTGAATCATAACACTTGGAAAATAACTACAAGTAGTGAAACAGCTGGAGTAAACCACTTCCACAAAGAGCCAGGTGTTTTCTTGCAGGATTGCTACACCGTTCCGTGACAAAGGGGCGAGGCTGTAACTGATTTACATGCACGGTTGACTAACTGCTTAACAGGTTTGACAGTAGTTATTGGCTCCTTGCCCGTTTTTCGCCTGTTGCTCTTCAACGGTGGAACGGCTGGTAAATGCACGGGCCTAAACAGGAAAACGGGGGTGGGGGGGGGCTCACCTCTGACACTGCCACAGACGCTGTTGTGTAACATTCACTGGAAAACACTGCCCAGTTCAGTGTTGGGTTGTGTTTTTGCAAACTCATATTTCATTTAAAAATAAAAACAGTGACAGCAGGTTGTCCTCTTATTTTGATATGCAGGAGAGCTGTGTTCAGCTGAAGGCAACACTTGAAAAACATGCTGTGTGTAAAACGTTGAAACCTGCTGCGACACTTCTCATTAGCACGAAGCCCTCAGATGACTAACAGTCATTAAAGGCAAAACAAAACAACCATTTCAATAAGATCCTCCCCACCATCCCTCATCATCCACGAGTCAAGTCTGCTTAGGTGTAAATGTGTATTTGCAGGAAAAGAAAGATCAAAAAACACCCTGGCAGGTCTCAGCAGGACTTGTGGCGGGGGGGGGGGGGGGGGGGGGGGGGGGGGGGTATGTGACAAATGAGAATCAGCTCAGATTTAAACCCAAGACATATTTTATGTGTAATTTTAGGATTAATTAGAAGGGTCATGGCCTCTTAGGATAATTTACAATAAAGTGGCAGTGCGTAGTATTCTAGCACTAGGGGGCAGTACATACATCTCAGGGTAGTTTTACACCAAATCGCCGCTAGTTAAAAAGAAACATTACGGTAAATGTTGTTCCCTGTGGAGCAGAAGGCATGCAACCTCAGCGTGACTCCTCAGACTTTGATGGTCCTTCAGTTAATTCCATAGAAAGAAAGCAATGCTGACGCTAGTTTTCTGTCACTGTAGTTTACAGATCTGCTAGAGTCCTGCACCTGCCAGTGACGTCATCATTATACGGCAATACCACTGGGCCAAAATACATTGCATCTCTTTTTCTGTTCTTTCACATAGGTTTTGGAAAGAGATTAGCAGTTTTGTTATTAAATTCATGTTTCTTACTGCCTAAATGTTTTTGAACATGGTAACGTTGTAAAGTCGTATATCCAGCCATTATCTAGTGTGACGTCATTAGAGGGCGCAGGACCATGAGCCGGTTACAAGTAAACATGCCGTCTAATATGGTGTCCCCCAAAGGCGCTAGACCCGCACCCTACGTACTTTAGACCAGTGTGTTATGGTTATGTTACAAGGCCTCCAATATTTTCCAACAACTAGACATCATTTTATTCATTTTCAAACAACATTTTGATAGACATTCCCAGAGATTAAATACAAATATGGACTAAATGTCCATCTGCACAATTACAAAGCTTAAAAAAATCTAGATTTGACAGTTATATGTTCTGATTGTGTTAGGGAACACCTCTGTTCTCCTGTTCTGACAGCAGCAGACCTGGTACCATATCAGAGCTTAAAGGGGCATTATGGAAGTCTGACAGCCAAAACATGTATAGAAATGATAAATGTCTTCTTCATACATTCTCCTGCAATGCCCTGGTCCTGTAGAATGAGCCCTGGCATTTTTACTGTGATTGCCTGTTTTTCTGTAAAATCACAGAAAATAGAGAGATGCTCGGGTCGAGCAGGCTGCTTCATGCGCGTTCACGCTCAGGCATAGCCCATAGCATTTGCTATCCGTAGCTTTAGCAGCAGAGAGAGAGGCGGTGCCACTTTGTCGCTGTTCCTAACGCCTAGCGACAAAGCTAGCTACATTTCTGAGGACCCTTAGCTACTTTCTGAAGAACTTTCTTCTAGATATTTCCTGCAAATTAGCAACAAAATAGCCATTTTCGCTCCGAACCGTTCTTTGAATGTTGTTTTAGCTGTCATCAAGGATATAAATGTTACAGATACCAAAATCATCAGTGGTGGTTTAGCTCATCTAGTTTAGACGTTGGACTCTCGTGCAGAAGACCTGGGTTTGATTCTGGATGTGAACATAGTTTATTTAGAGTTTCTTTTTTACATTAATGGTATATTTCTTTACAGTAAGATGCCCAAATTTTTATTTGAGACTCGCCGAACGGCATTGAATTCAGAGATAAAAAAGATGTGGGTTCAACTTTCATTTTGGAACAATTTTTCAAGCAAGGGAAGGGAATGATCTGAGCATGCAGGAGGACCGACCCATCATAAACCTTCGTCGGCTGTGCTGAAGAGAAAGGTACAGAACCAAATTATTTAATTAATTAGCTGCACGTTCTCCTGTCCTCTGTCCTCCGGGCCACACACACACACACACACACACACACACACACACACACACACACACACACACACACACACACACACACACACAAGGGGCTGTCAGCTCTCAGAGCTCTGTGAAGCTGACCCCTGTCAGACCTCTCAGCGACTCTAGCTGATGAAATCAGTGAAGAAGAAAACACAACTTCTAACACAGTTTGATCAAGACTTCTTAGAAGTCTGTCCGATGCTGTGGTGTGTGAAGCAACCCCCTTTTATAGGTGTGTGTGTAAGAAGAACTCACCCTGCCGAGCATGCATCGGCTCCAGCTCAGACCACAGAACAGCACAGTGCTGTCTGGGACTACTGAGACAAGTGAACCCCCCTGGGAAAGTTCATCAACTAAACGTTTTGCTATTTAACCCATCCACAGCCAACATGTCTGACTTTACCCTGTCCTGTTCAGAATATAAAGGAGCTCAGACAATTCGAGCATTTGCACGTTGTAGTTATTTTGTCTTATTGAAGCACTGAACAAAAATACATAAATCATATTAGTACGAGGTTCTCGATTTTACTACAATAATATCACTATCTGACATTATGTCATTTATGGATAAAGATGGATGAAAACATGCAAAATACAAGTGTGTTGACGTTTTTCTTCCTGGTGAGGAAAATAAATAGTGTTGAGAGAAATGTGAAATTCCCTTTTAAAATATTTTGTAACCAAAACGCAAATTTGAGGAAAAACTGTAAAAATTCTAAATTTGGTCCAGAGGTTGATTTGGACATTTTAACTTCCTGACTTAATTTAACAAAATTAAAAGAGTCTGCAGTTCGCCCCAAGAGCTAGTGATCTGGCAATCCTCCAAGACGTTTCTCCCAGTGAAAACCAATCTGTACCATGTAGTAACGGTTATGAATATCCTACTATGTCCAGCTCCCCTCTGCTATTATTAGATTAGCATATCCCATAATCTCTACCTCATGGAATTATTTGGAGTGCGTTGCCTCTGCTCCTTTATCTAATTCCCACAGCAACTGCGTCCTTCGTGGAAAACAAACAGAAAACCCCAACAGCAGCCCCGTGGGACCACCTAAACCTACACAAGTCGGTAAAGTCTCTAACTTACCGGGAGTTGTCGGTATTCCCTCCGATATTCAGACCGAGCGACGCGGAGCTCCGTGTTTTTGGAAGCTTTTCCTCCGCTCCACCTGTAACGCTGAGCCCAGCTCAGCGCAACACACACCTCAGTAATCCAGCAGGGAGCAGCCAGTCAGCGCCTGCTGGTCACGTGACTCGCTACCTTTCCTTATTTTAAAAAAATCCACTCCGCTTCCCAGCCAATCAGATCAGTAGAATATACTACCTAATTTTTACTTCAGAGTGGTTTGTTTTGATTAAATGTGAATGCTTCAACACTTTATTAACCCTCCCACTGTCCTAATGGGTGTGACCCCACGAGGAAAGTTGACCAGGATGTGGTGTGGGTGAAGGGTACCGAATTCGTTACTTTTTAAGGTACCGACCGAATTCCATAGTACCGACCGAGCACCGATTCACGTCATTTGAAACGGTGCATCGTTTCGGTACCCGTCCATCATAACGAGAACTTGCCAAGACAGCTGCGCATGCGCAAGAGCGTTTTGTCGTCGCTTGCTGTGAACCAGTTGTAAACAGAGCAGCATGGTAGAGAGAACGCAGGCTAAAGCTTGGGTCCACTTCACTAAATGTGATGGGTAACTGGATGATGAAACCAGCGACAACTATCTAAGTGAGACATCCTCATCTTAATCTGCTCCGGCAGGTAAATATAATTAGCTTGATATGTTAGCTTCCGTTTCGCTAATGGTGCGTTCGCTTTCTCCTCGGAACTCCGAAGTTTCAACTAGAACAACATGAACGCGCTCTAAAGTTTGGCTTCACTTTACTAAATGTGACGGGTAAAGACGAAACCAGTGACGATCTAAGTGTGAGGCATCGTTTTAATCTGCTCCAGCAGCTAAATAAACTGTTTAAGATATCGTTAGCTTGATATGTTAGCTTCCATTGCTACCATTGTTATCATCTAATGGTGCGTTCGCTTTCTCCTCGGAAATTCTAACTTCCCAGTAGGAAAAATCAAATGAAAAAAGATGGCAAAAGGAATGAAGATACACAGTAAATTTAGTTCACAGTAAAGATGTTTGCTTCAGTTTAATTATCAGCTTATAAAACTACAAGGACAATGTTAAAATACAAACAGTTGTATGTTATTTATCGTGATATTTATCAAATATTGTTATATATTGAGAAAAATATATATTTAATTATACAAGATAATTAAAATAATAAACACTCAAAAGTATCGAAAATTGGTACCGTTAAGTACCGGTATCGATTCGTAGGTACCGGTAATTAGTTCCAGATCGATTCAAATGTCAAAGGTACCCATCCCTATCCAGGGTGATATGGTGTCCACTCCTCACCCCCCTGCCACATGGACCTCAAGGGATAAACCATCAACCCTGCTCAATGGTCAACTTTCCTCGCGGGGTCACCCATAAAGACATTGGGAGGGTTACATACTAGACCTGTTATCACAAACACACTCCAGCCAAAGTTAACATATTGAATCAGTTTTTATTTCATCAGTTTCAAGTACAGGCATACATTTCATGAAAATGCTATAATACATTTATTATTATATGAAACTAAAATGTTATTATTTATCATAAAAAGCTGATTCACAAATCATCAGTACAAACTAATAGAAAATACCTCAGTGGTTGAGTCCCCGTGCGCCCCCTAGTGGTTCATCACAGGTACTCCACAAAGCCTGAACTTTATATAAAAACGTTTGTAAAAGTTCCCCTCGTGGTAGGTGGTCCGTGACGTCATCAGTGTTTACATCTCCGGGTTCCTTGCTCGTACCTCCTGGAGGGACTGGGGGTCCTCAGGTCCTCAGAGGATGGTTTGTTCTTCAGGCTGGCCACCTGCAGCCCCGGCCTCGGAGACGGCTGCTTTTTCACAGCAGCGCGAGTGTTGATGTAGATGGGTTGTTCTGTGTGAGGGTACAAACAAAAATCTGGGTCAGCACAAACAGGCTGCAAGAAGAACCTGTAAGGTCCTTATGGGAGAAAATTATGTGCGAAAATGTATGGTTGATCAAGATTTCTGTGATTTAATTGAGATTGTAGTTGAAATACATTTTTAACATCCGTAAATAACAGACGTGTATAATACACGCTTTATCTAATTATTTATTAAATAATTGCAAAATGACTCAAAAAATAAAACTGACTATAGTGGCAAATATAATGACCAACAATCTGCAGGTCAGTTTTACATATCGTTTATATATTTTTTCTCCTAAGTTTAATTAAAACACCTGGTGCAAGTCTGTCTGAGCCTAATGTGTTCTCTCACTTTACACGTGGCTAAAGTTTTACATAGTTCACCCCAGAGTAAAATCTGTCGGGATTAACTCGAAGAGATTTTATTGAAATATTATAGTTGTATATTTTTTATTTATGTACAATGTATATTTATTTATCAGGGTACAATTTATTAATAAACACACAGATGAAAAATTAAATTATTAATATTTCAGATAGAAGTGTATCAGGATTTGTAAATTTTATGTTTTAATCATAGAAAATATTTTGTTTCTCGTAACCTGTAAACCCTAACAGAGCTTCTGTGAAATAGTTATCTTTATTTGAGGGATTTCATTCAAACAGATTCTGCTCATCGGTCTCCTTTAACTTTTCTCTGATACTTTTGCTCGGTGTCTGGAAATCTTTCTCACAACTGGAAGACACGAATGACCTTTTTAACAGTCATCAATGCATTCTCACAGAAAACTGCATCAATCATATTACAAGTTAAAACTGAACAGTGTAAGATATTAATGTGCACACAAACACGCACGCTCGCTCACATGACTGAAAGCAAATACATGCAAAGTGAAGGTAACAGGTTGAGTATTTAATAATTCTATTATCTAGTGAGACTGGAGTTTTTATATGAACTTGAGTGAGCGATTTATGTTAAGAACTTTTTAAACTACTAAATATTTTCATTGTATTTTTCATGTCTGTGAAGTCCAACTAATAAAAAAAAAACTACAGACGAAAGAAACTTTCACACCCAAAAGAAAAAAGAAAAGAATTGTTGGAGCTGACAGGAAAAGATACAAGAAAAGAATCATAATGACGATTAAATCTTTCATCATGAATAGGCTGTTAAATGGAGCATAACTTATTCTCAAAAATAAGATGTCATTGCAAAAAATTTGTTGACTCATGTACAAACATTTAAGTAAATTATTAATAAAATTGTATTAATCCAAGTTTTTTCTTTTTTATTTGAGGTTTTTAGCAGCCGAAGGTTAAAATACTACTGCCTATGTGTTTATATTTGTACCTTGTTATTATTTAATTATTCTCTTAGGTGCAGGTGCTGCTGTAACAAGTGAATTTCCCCATTGTGGTATCAATAAAGTCTATTCTATTCTATTCTATTCTAATCTAATGCCACTGATTGTACCCAAACACTGACCCAGTGTGTAAAACTTACTGGTTTTATTTCTGATGGTTCTAAAAGCAAAATCTGACCTCAGCTCAGACTAGATGTTTCTTATGTTAACTTTTTTGTGGAAAAAATGACAAAAAGTTTCCTGCGTGTAGGTGGCACAAATATTTGTGTCCTACTTCTGCCTTTTGTGCAGAGGGCTGTGGTCGGTGACTGTGGCCACAATGGATCCAGATGTCTTTTTGAACTTGTGCATCTTTATTCAAACCACTGAGGAGCCACAGAGCTACATTTTACTAAGTCTCACTGTTAAACCACACTCACAGTCAAGCCACTGATCAACTTGGCTTTACGCAGTAGTTGTTTCATCTTCTTTGTACAAAAAACAGAAAATCTATTCTCCTTTCTTCTGTTCTTTAAAATGCAAATCCTTGGCTGTGAAATGAATCGTCCACAACTTCTGCTGAAGTGAAATGACTTCATCCCGTGTGACTTTATTGGCCTTTTTATTTCATGGCCTCATTTTTCATTCTCAGTTATCTCTCACTCATCACATGTTTGTACAGTTTGATAATTATTGGAGCTTTCAAACCTAAAAAGGAAACCGCGTACCTCTGCGTCGGCAGCATCTTCTGTGCACAGCACAGATGACCAGCAGGATGAGGAGGAGGAGAACTAGAGAAGACGCTCCTATCACGATCCACAGACTCATATTTTTATGATCATCATTGGGAATCACTGAGGAAAAAGGGCAATATGCTTTGTAATTTTGCATTTGCACAGTTTATTACAAGTCATGAAACACACATCATCAGCATGATAATTATCTGATCCAGCTATTTCTCAAACTTTTCAGTTTCTTACCCACAAAATATAAATTGTGAAGACACAGGATGCCATATATCTCTGATTTGACCACAAATGCTAAATAATTCAGGTCATAAAGGAAACCAACATTTATATGCATTTAAGGCAATTAGTTTGAGTTCTTGTGATTATTATGCTTGAATTTTAGCTTCAGTCATTTGTATTTTATTGTGATTGAGGGACACCCCCGTGTAGCTCTCGGTGACCCACAATGGGGTCTCGACCGCAACTTTGGGAACCACTGAATATTTGAAAACAGCCCCCTAATCAGGCGCGTTGCAAGCTTTTCAAAAGTGGGGGGGATGTTGTCTGTGCCTAAAATAATTTCATGTTATTCATCTTGTTAGTTAAATTTCTATAATAGCGGAGCAGGTGCGAATTTTAGACGCGTCACGCACGTCTCCGTTTTAAACATGTTTAAACTGTTCAGAATACAAATCCAGACTCTGTCTCGTTGGACTGGTGTAACTAAAGTCTGTACTGAATGAAACTTTACATTAAACCATGTTGAAAAGGTAAAAAAGGGTCCAATAAAATCGTTTTTTTCCCCTCATTTACAGTCACGGAGTACAGCGCAGTGCACAGGGCTCTGGGGTTAATCAAGTTTGTTTCTCTTTGCAACAATCTTCACAAGAAGGCAAAACAGTTAAATGGCAGGTTACAGATATTTCCATTTGACTGTTTATTTTGACGGATAAACTCAATGATGCTGGTTGATTTCCTCCCACTGAAGCGGTCTGGAAACCCGGTCTCTCTGAGGGATGTGTCACTTGGAAAATGTTATTTTTATGAAATTATGAAAGTTTGGCTGAATAGCGCTTGTTCCCGTCTCTAATATGGAGACGCATGACGCATCCAGTCTGAGGCAGAATCGCCTCTTCAGCTCAGAAAGCACCTGTAGAGACATTTGATCACGCACAAAGTTCATGTGGAGCAGAAGCGGTCGGGCCACGGCAGGTGAAATGTTCCTAGCCTACATGAAGTGAAACTGTTTAATTGTAACATTAATATGTTACTGGACACGCTGGTCTGGTTGGTTAGACCAGTGTCTGAAGTGGAAAACACACACACACACACACACAAATTAACATAATGCTGATAGCGTGGACTAGAAGACAGGTGATGGTTTACGTATTTAAATGATGATCAGGCTGCTGTAAAATGTAATCTCCATCCACATCCAGACACAATTATCCTCTAGTCTTTCTCTAGTCGCTCTGCTCTTGTCTGGGCTGACGGAGCTGACGGTGCGCGCGGCACGCCTCGCGGCTGCGATGCACATTTTACGCATTTGGAGAGGTGGACTGGATGCTTCGCTTTTACTGGAAGATGGTCCACTTAACGCACGGGTGTAGACTACATATTAATGACAAATGAATGAAAATTAAATTGTGAGTTTTTACTTCATATTTTATAAATAAAAATGACGGGGAAACACATTTATGACGTCTTTTTAAACTAAATTTTCTAGCGCGACCTGCCTGCTTCACTAAGTCGCTGCTTATTAAGGTCCGTCCAAAATTACCGTGGCCCACCCAAAAATGAAAACCTGGCGCCGCACCTGTTATAAACCTCTGCAAATTGTTGTTCTTCACTTTATCAAACTCAGACTTTGTACATTTAATGTCAAGATGTAAAATTATGAATTCAGTCAAGCTCTTCCGTCCCTCCCTCTCCTGCTCTCCTTGAAACCCGACATCGGCTGTCAGAAGCGGGAGGTGAAGAAGGAGATGAGGCAAGCAGAGTGAGTGCGACGTAAAGAAACCAGACTGGTGTGGAGGTGAGCAGAACAGCTGGAAAAGTGTGGGTGTTGAATCCCCCACGGGTGCAACGCCCATGTCCCTAATATGCACATTAAAGGTTGTAAAGGTGTGATTATTGTAGGCAGTTGAGAGAACATGAGCCGATGTGGTTACAGTGTTTATTTAGAAGTGTGATCAATAGTTTTCACCCATCAGTCAGATGTCTGGTCTTCTTCATAGATGCTAAACTGACGCTTACAGTGGAAAGTCCCCTCACCTTAGACTGAGGCTATATTTGATCAAATCTGACAATAAATTAGCACAGAAGCACACACACACACCTGGACTCTGTGTTGTTAGTGATGGGACCGGTGTGTTTCCCTTCTCCACTGAAACAAAGCAGTATGAGAAGCATTAATTGCGAGCAAGAATTTTAGGATCCTTTCATCACGTTGAGCTTCAGCACAGCACGGTTTACAGCATGGTGTTACTTCAGCGAGTCTAAGCGAGTTTGTGACTATAGGTCTGACACTTTACTGTGGCTGTAAGCACAATAAGTCGATGTTCCTGAGTGAATAAATCAGCAAATGACAAAAATGAGCTGAAGGTGTATTATTAACATTAATAAACATCAGGATTGCGTCGCGTCTGCCTACGTATACAAAGTGAAGTTAGAGATAAATCCTGAACGTTATGGTTAGAGGTAAATGTTAAAATAAATAATTACGGGTCATACTCACCAATTATTTCTGTTCTGTTGCTCGCGGTCTGTGTTAGCACAGGAATCTCTTTTGTGACATTACAGGAGTACCATCCAGCGTTGAATTCAGTAGCAGTTACACTGAAACATAAATCATTTGAACTGCTCTTCAAGTTCTCTGAGGAGGTATGAACATTTGTGATATTCAAGGGGTTTCCATCTGATCCAGAGGGCTGGAAAAGCCAGTTGATCCTACATTTCTCATATCCACTGGTGTTCAAGCAGCAGTGCAAAACCAGAGTGGAGCCGTACAAGACGTTTTCTGATTTTGCTGCATCAGTCAGATTAATGTGGATCTCCTTCAGCATCACCATGGCTGCTCCTGACACTGCGCACATGCACGAGAGAATGTGAGTTAAACTCAGATTAACTTTGATTCGTCAGTTCATCTGCAACGGGAGTCTAAAGGGAAGGTTAATCTCCTCTTTTAACGTTTCACGATTTAAATGAGAGAAAATTCTGTTCGGTTAAAACTCTCACCTGTGAGAAACAACAGAATCGCTCGTTTCAGCCACATTTCCATTGTCTCATGCGAGAGATGGTGGTCCTCTGAGTCTCATCCTGTCTCAGCTGCCTGTCTCGCTGCACGTTGCGCTGATAGACGTGTGTGGGGGTGCGGAAGGAGTGGAGGAGTGGCTTTCTGATAACGTAGAAGGTGTCATGTAACTGGGGGGTGTCTGTAACAGATACACAAACAACAAAAGATGGAAAAGTTTGCAGACTTTCAAAAAAAACTGAACAAAAAAAAGGAAAAGAAAAATCAGGAGGAAGTATTAACCAAACTGCGAGGAAACATCAAAGCTGTCTGTGCTCTCCCATTTCTGAATGTGAACACCCTGAATGTTTCTGTGGTTTGCCTTGGTGAGGATGTTCACACGCTGAGTTACCATGTGCAGTAAAAGCGTGCAGTGAATGATACGAGGGGTACGTGAAACCCCTGTGGGTTATGGTGCAAGGGTGCTAAAACACATTTCTTTGTGCCACTGCAGCATCTCGATAAAAAAGGAATATTTGGCTTCCTGTGACAAGACACAATCATCTCTGTGGAGCAGATTAACTTCCTTTTTCTTTTCCTACCACATCTACGCTGATGATATACAGCTCTATATGTCCTTCATGCCACACCAGTTGGACAGGCTGGCCACCCTTGTACTCTGCCTGACCCAGATCAGTAACTGGCTGTCCAGCAACTTTCTTGTTCTCAACGCCAACAAGACAGAGACCCTGATCGCTGCACCCCCGGAACTTCAACCAAAAATCGAGCAGCAAATTGCCTCTTTTTGCCCATCAGCCAAGGCCAACATTAGAAACCTGGGAGTTATTTTTGATCCAGCCTTAAGTTTAGACTCACACGTCAAAACCATCTCCCGCTCTTGTTTCTTCCTACTGAGAAACATTTCAAAAGTCCGTAAACTGGTTTCTACTGCAGATCTGGAAAGAATCATCCATGCCTTTGTGTCATCACGCTTAGACTACTGTAACGCTCTTTTTACTGGTCTCAGCAAAACCTCCCTCTCACGCCTTCAAGCCATCCAAAATGCAGCAGCCAGACTCCTAACCTAATCCAGCAGACGAGTTCACATCACCCCAGTTTTACAGTCCCTCCACTGGCTCCCGGTAGAATATAGAACACAGTTTAAAGTTTTAGTGCTGACCTATAGAGCTCTTAACAACCAGGCTCCAAGCTACCTATCTGAGCTTTTATCCCCACACATCACCTCTCGGAACCTTAGATCCACATCTGAAAACCTCCTGGCTGTTCCTCGAAACAGACTGAAAACCAAAGGGGGCAGGGCCTTTCAGACTATTGCACCCAGACTTTGGAACAGTCTGCCTTCAAATCTCCGTCTCTCTAACACTGTAGAGGTCTTTAAAAATCATCTAAAACTCACCTTTTCATCCAGGCGTTCCCTCCCTAAATGTTTCAGAATGATGGCTTTGTTCGGGTTCACACCTTCACTTTGTTTATACTCATGATTTTATTTTCTACGTTTATCACTGCTATTGTTTTTCTGATGTTTTTATTGGTTTGAGGTATTTGCCCTGATTTTACTCATGTTGTACAGCGCTTTGTGATTTATATCCGAGAAAGGCGCTATATAAATAAACTTTTACTTACTTACTTACTTTTTCAACCTAATTTCCCACAATATAATGAAGCAGACACAAGAGATAACAGATAATGATGTAAACATAATATCTTCTAATTGAGGGGAGTTAGTTATGATCCGAGAACAGGGAAAAAGAGAAAAACAAGAAGTTGTGGCTATTGTTAAACACTGTTTGTTTGAGACAAAGACTGTAGCACGATAACAAATGTGTTTTTGTGAGCAGGGAAGGAAAGAAGGTCACACAAAAGAACTAGCAGGGGGTGTCTAACTTCTGAAACCTCAACTTTTAGATCTTTTGATGCACAAGACTGAAAGTAGGTCCCGTCTGCTCGTTGGAAGATGAACTTTCTTCTGTTTGTTTTTGTAGTTTTGCATTTGCTTGAATAGGATTAAGATAGAGAAAAAGAAGATATGAAAGAACTTCTACTAAACTAAAATTTAAAAAGAAATTAGCTCTTGACAAAATGAAAAATAATCCACAGTGTGAGAACACAAATCAGTAGGGTAAAGTCCTGGTCACTGTGGATTAGACACAGAACACAACTGATTACCAAAATAATCTAAATGTCAAATGAGTCGAAACAATTTCACATTTCTGTAATCCTCCTGATGTGTCCAGTTATGGTTTGTTTTCTCAATCTGATGCACATTTATTCACGTTATTGTTTCAAAAGTCAAATAAAGCATGCACCTCATTATTAACACATATTATCTAAAACGAGTTTTCAACCCAAATTTCCATTTTACCTGTCACAACTAGACCTCAGTTTCTCACAGAGGGACGAGTTTCTAACAGCTCCATAAAACTGCATGAAACAATCAGGGGGAACTGAAAGTTTTCAGCAGGAAACCAGTGGAGACAAAGTTTGTGTCAGTAATCAGAAAGTGTGAGATGAGCCATCGGCTCAGAGCTGCAGCAGCTGTTCATGACTTCACATAAAAGAATCACTCAAGCAGAAGATGTGAAATGAAACCACACAGATCCGAGTATCAAACTACAGAATAACACATTCAGGGGAAAAAATAATTTATAGTTCTTCTTCTGCACAGAATTATTAATAAATAAAGTTTACATATCTTAGAGACATTTAAAACGTGTGGGCAATACTCGATGAATGCTGTTTGAGATCAAAGGACTTAGTTGCTGTAGTATAACTCTTTTTAAATCAACATAAATCAAGTAAATGTTTACCCTTGCCATGCTCAAAATAATGCAGGCATTTTTGAACATTTAACTATGAGCAGAAAAACATCAAATAAATTAATGAAATACAGGGAAGTGTGTGTGTGTGTGTGTGTGTGTGTGTGTGTGTGTGTGTGTGTGTGTGTGTGTGTGTGTGTGTGTGTGTGTGTGTGTAGTGATGAATGCTATTAATGTTGTTTGATTGTCAAAATAAGTCCAGTCAAGGACTAAGTTTGCAATCTAGCCTCTGTCTAGAAAAACCTAACGTAACATTTGCATTTTCCTTACATTTAACATTGTTTTTCTGCTGTCTGTGTTCAATACACCCAAACTAAGCTAAATCATAAAAATATTTGAGTTTTTAATATTTCCAAATTAAATTTACTATATAATAAACTAACTACATGAGTTTAGATGAAAATTGAGATTGAATTTCCATCCAGAATTTTAGTTCTAAATTAATTAGATAGATTATTCCAGTGTTTTGTTATTAAAATAAATATTTACCTTCTTTTTGTAATAAAGCTCTGTGACGTGGTTGTTAATGTGTGTTTTACGCTTTATTATTATTTATTTTGATTTATTAGATGAAATATTTATTTAAAATGTAGCTTTTTCTAAATGTGACCTGCAGATGAGTGCAGCCTTAGAAAAATATTTTAGAAAACTTGTTTAACATGCTTATTGTTGCGTTTATGGTTTGTTAAATAATCAGACACGATCTTGTCATAATCCAGAGAGTGTGACATTACTTGCTAAAGTTATAATTACTTTAATTTCCTAATTGTTCCTAATTGTATTTTGGTGTATCTTTTCAGGAGAGCATCACTGCCCATAATGCATTTCTCGCGCATGCGTGTTAGACTCCACGGCCCACAGGCGTCGGTGTCCGTCCGAAGATGCGCTACGCCCCGGTAGCATCAGCACCAGCTCCGCCGTGCTAACAAACCACACACCGGGGCACAGAGGGGACATACCGGCGGCGTTTGCGGCTCTAGCGGCGCCGGGGCACCAGCACGGGAGGATGGGAGACCAGAAGGTGGGCTGGGGCGGGAGGAACAGGTGTCTCTGATGGGGAGGACCGCCGTTTAAGGGCGTAGCGTACAAAGGGAAGGAGAGGCTGGACAATCAGGGAGTCCGTGACTGCGGCGCGGACTGTAGCGCTACTGTCTTCTTGTGTGTTTAAATCGTGAACTGTCCGACTGAAGGCGAGGTTTATCGAGGATTTATTGCTGTAAGAGTGACGGAGAGTCGGGGCCTGGGCAGTGGCACAACTCTACTCCCTATGACAAACATTACACAGTTCTGATGAATGAATGGACTCTTTCTCTGTGGGGTGGACAGCAGCAGAGGAGGGAGTGGTGGACCCACCAGGACTGATTAGTATAACAATACCAGTCCATTCCTTTGAAGGCAGGCTGTGTGAATGGTTGTGTGGGTGCCTTATTAAATTATTGATGCGCATCCTTCCGCCCCTCAAGTGCCCTTCCTCTCTGATCCCATCTGAAGGACTGATATTGCGGCGTGTTGGGAGAGGCAGCTGTAAGCTTAAAGCCTGTCCACTTCAGCTTAGCACTGATTAGCACAGCTACAGAGGGGG